GATAAAAGAAAGCTGAATCCAAATTTGTACCTAAACATAAATTCTTTTATATGATAAAATTTTGAGGTAAAACGTAAAAGGCATACATATTTGATAAAATTTCCAAAACAACCCAAAATTATAGAAATCCATATTATATCAATTATTGAACCGAAATCCGGATTGATCAGAAATTGTTGTTTCAACAATGAAATGACATATATTTGAAATTTGATACTTAACAAAAAGGAAACAACATTATCGACAAAAAATCAAAACAATTATTAAAAACAATAATCTCAAATTCCATTCTAACCCTACGTAGACAAGAGTCCACCGCCTCTATAAATAACATAACCACAAGATAAATGTTGCAACAACAAGGAAAAGAAAACCCTAAAAGCACAGAATATCGTATATTCTTTGTAATGGATGATTTGTTTGCCCACAGAGTATCCCTCAACCATGAAATCGACAACAATCCTAAACCAGAAGACGTAGGAGGAATCAAAGTGTACGTGAGTATCCTAATGTCGGAAGATTCTATAATAGAACCAGTACTCGCTTTCTCCTTGCCTGCCAAAGATATTTTGGATAGCTTCACGAGGTATAGATGGGAACAACTGAATTGCTTGGAGAACGATGAACGTTTCAATTGGTTTCAGCTTGGTTTTGGGAGGAGGAAACTCAATAGCCTTGTGGTTGATGTCATTTTTACCAACTTTACCTATTATCCAAACTATTATTCAACTTGTGCTTTTGCGTTTTATATTACCTTTAAGTACATGATTCCTCCTACGATTGAAGATTATCTATCATTTGAAGATTATGTATCATTTGGAGAGGAGAATATGCAAGTCCCAGTTGATGAGAGCACCGTTGATAACCGGTTTAGACCGGCGAGTAAGGTTGCGGTTGCTTCTTTGTCAAGGAAAGTATATGAGAAGACGACTTCTAGCTTGGACATATGCACAATTTGTTTGGATCAGTTTAAAATGGGAGAAATAGTCGTGACCTTACCCTGTGGACACGAGTTTGACCATAGCTGTATCCTCGAATGGTTTTTCCACAACCATGTTTGTCCATTGTGCCGTTTCGAGTTACCATGTCAAAATTAGATGAACTAGCTAGTACTTGGTTTAATTGTTTAAGGGTTTTCCATCTTTTGCTTTTTTTTTGTTTGAAGTACAGTATCGTGTTTCAAATAAAGTTGATTTTTCCATGCATGAATTCATCTAAAAAGATATTGCTACATACATATCAATCCACCAATAAGTAAC